GTTTGAAGTTCTATGGGAGGTGGGCTCCATTACTAGTCCGCTAGGATGGTCAACCAGGAACTCCTAAGGCTAGATCCTAGGTTCTAAGATTAGGAGGCTAAGACCTCACTAAAATGAGGTCAACAGTTAATAATTATCTTATGTACTAGCATAGGTCAATGTTCCTATTGAAATATATTTTAAAGAAGATTAACACTATAACAAATCATTTTTATATGATGGGGTCCTCTAATAAATTTCATTTAATTCATGAAACCAAACTACATATCTAAAGAGAAAGAAAGGAGCTAGCCTAGACACTATGTGTTAGTTGTGGAGTCTGATTGTAGCACCCATGAGCAACAGACATGCTGGCTTCCATGCAGTCAGTGCACCCGACGCAAGGTGTCGGGCTATGGGCACTTAAGCACCCATTGAGTGTTCTCAAACCGAGAAGGTGGAAGTCCTGCACCCAAATTTTGCTCTTAGACGCCCTCTTCTAGCTCTGGGACGCCTGTTTCCATAGAACTAGACGCCAGATGCCCAAATCTTGGCGCATAGGCACGTGGAGCAGTTTTCACGAGAACTACTATTTGTCATGATTTCGGACAGCATATGCGCGGGCTTGGAGCGTAGCTTTTACTGTTTGTTCATCAACAAAATCCTGGTAAATGTAAGTAGTGTTGGTAAGAAGAATTCTGATGTTTTTCGACGTGCATTTATACATAGGATCAGTGGGAAGAACGTGGAGTGGTGCACTGTAAGTTTTGTTGTGCGAGTGTGGAGAACAAATTTGTGTCAATCTTTTGTAAAACTCTCTTAAATTTATAGTGAAATTTTTGGTGGTGTGCCTCCGTGATTTCCTTCCTGTTCTCAGGTTTTTCCACATAAAATTCATGTGTATTTTTCTGGTTATTTTTTAAATTTAAAGTTCTAGTTTTCTCGAATCTTGCAATTCTATTCCGCTGTGACATTGAGAATTATTAGTAGGATTTCCAACTCTATGTCTATCATAAACTCTATGACTAAGATGAAAGTGTATTGTATGTTATAATGCCCGGTGTAGAGTCTTACCAACCAATATATAACAAAGTAAATAAAAAATATGCCTACTTCAGGAAAGATATGCACCCAATTAAATCTTACTTGTGTGGAAGTGTTTCTCTTGTTATTAAAAATGAGGCTAATCTCTCCTTTATAGATATATGTCTTGGAGGTTATTCACTTTGAGAAATTGTGAGCATAAATTTTCATCTTTTGTTTAAAATTCCAACCACTTGCATTCAATCTGGTAATAAAGAGATCCCAATCTCTAAAGTTATAAATTTAAATTGCTTTCAAAACATTAGAGAAGAGGGGTGCTAATCATTTTGAGAAAGCCAAAAAAGCTTTGTTGTCTACTTCTCTATTAAACATTCTTTCTATACTTGGATGACTTGCCTTTGGAATTTAAGAACTAGAGATATTATGTTGTCCAGGGACCAAATGTTCCATATCTTTGTTCCCTATATTCTCTCAAAAGTAAAAGTCATTCACACCTCTTCATTCAATGCCCATAAGATATATGGTTAATAAAAAAAAACTAATGTATAATAGTGATTTATTATTAGAAGCAAGTGTTCATCATAACCATTATTATTTTGAGACTACATCCTCTTTTTATTTGTTGTTGTTTACACTCTTTGGAGAGAGAGGTGAAAGATAGAATAAAATATTCATTTTTTTAAGTACATGTTAAAATAATGAATCAAAAGCCTTATAAACCAAAATAATGAACATAAAAAAGACAATTTAATGTTCATGTCTATGAAACCTTTTTTAAATTGGAGAAAGGTTTTAGGATACAAGTTAGCCTTTTTATGAATTTTGACACTTTTGTTGTCTTATATCCTATCGGTGTAGCTACTCAACAATGTTTGACCTTCAATTATGATGCATAAACGTATTTAAATTCAAAATTTTAAATATAATTATATAGCATTTAATCTTTAAATCATATTAAGAATATCACCAAAATTAATTTCTCTATGGTGATATACATAGTTTCATATAAAATTGTCAAACTAGTCCTCTGACTGTTTACATGAGGTCACTTTAGTCTCAGAGTATATAAAAGTGTCAAATCAGTCCTCATACTCTTAAAATTAAAGCTAAAATCATTTTTCATATTAAAAGAGTTTGAGAGCTAAATTAGTACTTTTATAAACTCTGGAACAAAAATAACCCACTTCAAAGAGTAAGGTGACTATTTTAACACTTTTCACTTTTCATGTATACGTTTTGATATGAACAAGATGCTACAATCTTGTATAAGTAAATGGTAAAGCTTAGATTTTAGATATGTAAATACATAAGATTTGAACAAGATACTACAATCCCACTGAAAAATTCATTCATTTATTTGCAAATGTAGTAAGTTGGAATAAAAAGTTAATGTTCCTCATTTTGTTAGAAGTTAATTTTGATTTTGACCCATTATTACAGTTGGGTTTAGCAAATTATTTGAATTTTAGTTATCTAAATTAATATTTAAAGATGAGTATATGTTTTAGAATAATTATTTAGGAATTCTAGAGCTATATTGTAAACTGTTCCTCAAAAAAATTTAAAAAAATAATTTTTTTTTTTTTTGGTAGCAAAAGATAGAAGAGAGTTTTAGAGTATTACTTGTAGACATTAGATTACAAATATGTTGGAATAATTCTAAACATAGTTAAAGATGTGCCATTAGTATAAATAATGATGATTCCTTTGAGTTTCTGTCAAGCAAAAAAATAAAAATTAATAGTTTTTTTAATAAAAATAAATAGCTATTTCCATCAAAATATAGCTTCTCTTATCTCCTTAGATTTTACCTAGTCCCAAAACCCTTCTCATCAATCATTTATGAATTCTAACCTTGAACTGTTGTTAATTCGCGGGCCTGAAGACCTCGGCGACGGCGACCGGAACGCCTTCCCGCCGACTCTACCGCCGCTCTTCGCGGCCTCCGCATCCCCTACCGCACCCAAAGCCAGAACGCCGGCAGCCAACGCAACCACTGCCAGTTTCGCTATAGGGAATTTATCGCCCTGGCTGCCAGAAAAATACAAAACTTTATTAATCATATAAAATAAAACCAGTTTGAAATTGCAGTCACATGGAGACATAGTTCATTACGTTGATTGGACGTCGGAGCCTTCTTTGTTCATGGAAGCTGAGGCTCGATGAGGGAACAAGGGTTTGTGGGTGTTGCTTTGACGGATTGGAAGTAGGAAAGGGTTTCCTAGGAGAAAGCTTCGGGGAGAAGAGAGGGGAATGGCCATGGCGTCTTAGAGCTTCTTTTTCTTCTCTGTTACTGTCGGCTTGTGCTCAGCAGCAAGTCGGGAAAGAAAAAAATGGAAGCTTGGCTTATCCATAAGAACGAAGGGATACCTGGCTCCCTATAAAAAAATCGTACTAATGTCAGTCAATTCTATGTATTTACATAACTAACATTTCCATTTTTAGATACATACCCCCTGATCAGATCAAGAGAAATGTATTTTATTTTTTGAAATTTAAAATGACAATGTTTTTTATAATGATATGAATATTTTAGATAAAATAAATATAAAAAGTAAAGTTTAGCCATTAGATAGATAAATACATTGGTATTGGGTAGTATATATGTGAATGCCACTAAAAAATATCTCCGATAAAAATAATAATAATAATAAATAATTTTTTTTTTATATTATACCACTTAAGCATGTATTTGTATATCTAACATCTAACCTTTTATTTTAATATTTATAACATTTAAATCATAATTATTATAGTTTTTAGAAGTTCAATATATAATTTAAAACATAAATAAATTGGTATAAATATAAAAATTAAAGTACATAACAATTTTGTGGTGTACATAAATCTTCCAATTTTTTTATTAATAATATAGTTATATATATATAT